TCCTCTGTGAAGAGCAGACATCGTCCTCTGTGAAGAGCAGACATCTTCCTCTGTGAAGAGCAGGTCTTTGTAGAGCGGTCCCATTAAGTGACTTCCTTCCTGGGCATTGTTGCTTGTGTTCAGGAAACTTGTGATTGCTTCATGATCATGGAGAACATGCCCCATTCTTCCTGGAAGCTCCAGTATCTTCCCTCTCGTCTATAGACCTGTAGTACATCTGGGACAGGTTTCTGCATCAGAGGCAAGGCTGAGGTGCAGGAGAGAAGGGGATGCCCTACCCTGTCCAGCAGCATTTCAGGATCCACCTGTCCTCCACAGACAAGCCCTGGGGGCTGCACTGAACCTTGGGAGGTATTTGTCTCTATGGTCTGGAGGCGTCCCAGCCTGGCTGAGATGGACATCCCATCTCTTCATGGGATCTGTAGTACCGTAGGATGGTCAGTCAAACACAGTCTCTGTAGGCTTGTCTGATGTTATGGGTGTGTTATGGGTTGTGGAATCAGCTAACTTACGGTTACTTCCTGCTCAACAGAAGGAAGGGCTGCCCACTCCTGCACCATCTTCATGGCTGTAAATGGACTCAAGTCCAGAGCTGTAGCCTCGGTGGACAATGTGCGTCTTCTCACCTAGGGCTCATCTTCCAGCACTGCATCTGACGATGTTCCGTGGTGGTCTTTAGGGTTTCCATTGGCTGGTTTGTGGAAGCAGATGGGTTTTTCTTCCTCGTCTTAGTCTGGAAGCTGGGCTGAAACCTGTTCCCCATAGGTGACCCTGTTGGTGTTTGAAATACAGGGCAGAGTCCAGCATCACCACAGTAGGACACACAGATGAGGGAAAGGAATGTTCATTTCTCCATGAGTTCCTCTTCTTCAGGGCAGATGGGCAAACGTTAGTGTTCTGCATTGATAGGATGCACAGACAGATGGGACTGGAAGTTTGGTGAGAGGCAGAGGAGCACATGGTCTGCCCGGGAAACAGGGTCACTGGGTCGTTGCCTAAATCTGCCACACTACCGCTATTTAGGCCTTCTCACGCTGCCCACAGGCTGATTGAGGGTGACCCGCTGGTGCCATGGTCAGGCACTTGGTGTGCATGATGTGGTTCTTGGCATTAAGGGAGCACCTGCTGTATGCATTTCTTGGGCAGGGCGCTTGTGGACACTTGAGCATTATGGACCTCAGCCAGCAGCTCAGCCCTCAGGTTCACAGAAGGGGACATGGGGCTCCAAGAAGGGCACATGGGTCAGTGTGACTAGACTGTGCAGAGCTGGCTCATTGTAGGAACAGCAGCTTGGGGTGGGGGTGGGGGACAACGGCTCCAGGCAGC